ACAATGACAACTACAACCAAAAAATAGCTGGATGTTGTGGCAGGAACCTGTAGTCCCAGCTACTTGGGAGGCTGAGGCAAAAGAGTTGTGTAAGCCCCAGAGTTTGAGGTTGCTGTGAGCTGTGACACCAGAGCACTCTACCGGGGAGGAAAAAGAGGACAAAGCAAGCAACCCCCACTTCTCTGGCTGCCACACCATTCTATCCTTGGCTCTCAGAAGTCATTACAACCACGTTCAAACCCTCCAGCTCCAGCCCACCTGCTCATTTATTCCCCTATTTGATCTAATTCAGCTAGGTTTTATGGTTTAGTAAAAGAGCTTGGGCCGCTTTGCACTAAAGCATGCAGCAGCTTAGTAATGCAGGAAACACAGTAGGTTCTAATGAAAAATTGCTGAGAGGACATATTGGTAGCAAGAAAGTTGTAAAGCCAGAAAAATCTGGCTTTGTATCTCCCTTCTCTCAATGATCAGCTGTGGGAAATTGCAGAAGCTTAAATAACTCTGTGAACTTCCCTATATGTCTCTAGAAAATGAGGATAATATCTACCCTACACAAGGAGTAGGGACAATGCAAAATATCTTATATGCAACACCTGGCACATAGTAGGTGCTCTCTTCCTTCTATCTGAATGAATCGTAATGTCGATCGGTGTCCCTCCAGCCAGAGTAGCCACATAAGCAACACTCTGGAATAGGTAAGGATTTCTTACAAAGTGTAAATCTCATCTGCCAACCCCCATTAGTCTTGTCCTTGAAGAAAGTGTTCAATCAGCAAATTAAAGGGCCAAAAATAATGGCCAGGATGAAAGTAGGCTGACATGTCTAAACTGGAATACGCTCATTTTTAGCACTTAAAATATCATTTCAGCAACATCACCAAAGTATGTGAACTAGAATTTTTGTTATTCAGTGTAACTGGCAAAAGGGTGCGTTACCTGATTTTTAAATTGTCAGTCTGATTATTGACTATGCATGAAAACAAATAACTTAAAAAAACTAAAAGACATGAAAATATTTTTAAATAAAACTACATACGTTCTTTTCAGAACAGCTCATTAATTTTTAAATGAGATCCCAAAAGCATAAAACATGATAAAAATGGTGCATTTAAACAAAATAATAAAACTTAACGTTTTTGCCGCACAATAAAGACCATAAAGAAATTAAAAGGCAAGCAGCCACCTGAGAGGTTAAGAGAAACAAATCAACAGCGAATATCACAAATAATATGAATACACAGTTCTTGGAAGAGCAAATCCATTGTCTAACAAACAGAAGAAGATGTGTTACCTCACTAACAGGGAAAATGCAAATTAAACATCTAAGAACTACCACATTACGCTCCTGAGATATGCAAAAAACTCATATTACCAACTATGGAAAAGGATATGCTGTAACAGGAACGCCTATATGCTGCCGGCAGGATTGTAAACTCATGTGACCACTTGGGAAAGCAATCTAGCATTATCTAGGAGCCCCAGGAATTTCACAAGTGTGCCTTATATATTCTAGAGAGCAACAGGGCCATTGCTGACTCAGTAGCAGCAGCACCTGGGAGCCTGTTAGAAACGCAAATTCTCCAGCCCCTGCCCAGACTTAATGACTTAGAAGAACCAATAGAGAAACTTCACACATTAGTCTCCCCTGTTCTGACACAGGAGCAGCCCGGGGATATTGTCTGTGATCACATTCTCTGGAAGGCAGTGTCTTACAGGAGACCTTGGTTTACTAGTATGGTGTCGCTTGAGAGTAAAGGGGCAATGTGCCAACAGTCTTTGCATAGAGACACACACACACAGAAATGTATATGTATACAAATAAAGCATTTAAAATATCTAAACAACTAAAAACAGCAGAATTCAATGGTG